TAAAACTTTGATTTTGTAAACAAATTGAGTAATGACATCAGCTTTAAGTAAAAAATTCTGACTACCTATTTTATTAAAATTTTCATTTTTTTCTTCATGCATTGAACATAAAATTTGAAAATTACGTAGAATTTTATATTATAAATGAAACTGTTTTTTCTGATTCTAAAGTTATTGTCCCTGGTAAATATGCGTCAAGATATTGTAAGAAATTATGGGAGCATAATGCAGTATTATATTTTGGAGAGATTTGTCACTGAAATTCACGCCTGTGAAGCCAATTGAACGAAAGCCTAAAGTATTTAAAACGACAGTTTTTTATAAATTAATAGAAAGTACATTGCAATAGCTACAGTGCATTTATTAATATATTATGTTATCAATATATATAACTTCTATTGCAGGCATACTTACTACAAAGTCTTTGAAATCGACAGATGATTTATCAGTTTATCACCTATAGATATTATTATAGCCTTAATAATATCTATCACTGCCGCTATTGGGGTGGTGGTCGTTCAGCCCGTAATAAAAAAAAAAAGGATCATGGAAGTCTAAACAACGAAGTTTAATGTTCTCTAATACCATCTAAAAAAATGTTACTGTGCATATACTATACATATATATGTACATAGCGTTAGGCACATTGTTTTCTATTTCCTCTATTGCTTTTTATTTAATATATGTATAAAGTATTGCTTACAATTTTTACTTATAACCTACAGTCCATTTTTTTTATGAAAGTAAATTCAAATAGGAAAACCTCATTAGGTAGATATTAGGATATAATTAAATGAAGGCACAAGGGCCTAATGAGGAAGCCGCATTAGGGATATTCGTATGCCACATTTCCTAATTACAGCCTAATGTTGCCCCAATGAGGTTTTCCTAATTAGGCATTTATGGGGGCATGCGTTACGTTCGTGATTAGGGCCTAATGCGGTTTCCGCATTATGCCCTAACGCGGAATTAGGCATGCCTAATGCCAACCTCTTGACTACCGAACTCTAAATTCTAGTCGGGTAAGTGAAGCATAAGTAAAGTAAGGAAATACAACTAGACAAATAACGCAAAAATTTATCATATTTTTATTCATCAAACAAATCCCTGTTACCTATAATTAATTACAAAAAAAAACATAGATGCCCACTATTTCAACAAATAAGCAATTTCACTATCTACATCATCATCATAAGGTCGTCAGTCCTAAGTGTAGTTGGACACGCACCTGCACTCTTTCCTATCTTGATATAATCTTCGCATTTCCCTAAAACTAGAACAACCCATATCCTTAACTATTTGCGAACAGTATCTACTCTAGGTCTACCTCTGTCCCTTTTAACTTCCGTTTATGCCTCTAATATGTCTCTGACTTGAGCCTTTATGCCTGAGAAGGTGTCCTATTAACCGATCTCGCCTATTTCTTATTGACTTCCATAGAGTCCTCTGTTCTCCAATTCTTTCTAATACCTCTTTATTTCTAACCTTGTCTATCCACGGTATCCTCATCATTCGCCTGTAACACCACATTTCGAAACGCTTCTAACCTTTTCTTTTCCACCGCGCCCACTGTCCATGTTTCGCACCCGTACAGCGCCGTGCCCCAAACATACACCTTTAAAAACCTTTTTTGAATTTCAAAATTAACCATTCGCGAGCATAGAAGTGACTTCTTTTTATTGAAGGCAATTTGACCTTGCGCTATCCTCTGCTTTATATCCCTACTACTCTTTCCGTCCTAACTTATCCGACTTTCTAGATACCTAAAATCGGCCACTTTTTCTAATTTTTCGGCTACTATCGTTATATTTACTCTTTCCATAATTTTTCTTCCCTTGCATACCAGTATTTTTATTTTATTTTTATAACAATACTGTTTTGTCAATACCGCTTCTATTTTATTTAATGCTCTAACTCTTTTGACTCCTCCTTGTTAGATATTAACACTGCTATATCATCTGCTAATGTAATCTAACTGATACCTCCCTAAATCTCCTGGCATGTTCCACTAATGTGATGGTTGAATAAGTATTCGCTACAGTTAAATTATGTTTATCGCAAAATTCTATCAGCCTATCTCCCCTATCACGTCTATTGCTTAATCCAAAAAAACCTGCTATTGCATCCACTTTACCTTCGCCTATCATTGAGTTGAAGTCTTCTACAACTATTAGGTTTCCCTATCCTTTCACTAAACTTAGCATGTCTTGTATATCTGCATAAACCACTTCTGCGTCTTCATTACTGTAAGATGATGTAGACATTAATACCGTTTTTACCGGCTTTGAGTTAAATTAACCATAACATACGCATACAACAAATTTTTATCATTACCTAAATAAAATAACAGGTCAATTGAAAAGTCCCCGGCCTAAAATAGTAAAACACATTTTTTTTGCAAAATTGGTTTTTTTTATTGAACATAATTCCCTTCAAGGGTGATACACTGATTATAGCGATCCTCCAACTTTTCGATACCATTTTTGTAGTACGATTTGTCCTTTGCTTCAAAATAGGCCTCAGTTTCGGCGATCACCTCTTCATTCGACGAAAATTTTTTCCCAACGAGCATTCTTTTGAGATCTGAGAACAGGAAGTAGTCGCTGGGGGCCAGATCTGGAGAATACGGTGGATGCGGAAGCAATTCGAAGCCCAATTCATGAATTTTTGCCATCGTTTTCACTGACTTGTGAGACGGTGCATTGTCTTGGTGAAGCAGGACTTTCTTTTTCTGCAAATGCGGTCGTTTCTCGGCGATTTCGTCCTTCAAACGGTCCAATAACGCTATGTAATAGTCGCTGTTGATGGTCCTTCCTTTTTCAAGGTAGTCAATGAAAATTATTCCACGCGCATCCCAAAATACAGACGCCATAACCTTGCCAGCCGACTGTTGCGTTTTTGCACGCTTTGGAGCGGGTTCATCGTGTGCAGTCCACTCCGATGACTGTCGATTGGACTTCGGAGTGAAATGATGGAGCCATGTTTCATCCATTGTCACATATCGACGCAAAAACTCGGGTTTATTACGCGTGATCATCTTCAAACACTGCTCTGAATCATCAACTCGTCGTTGTTTTTGGTCAAAAGTGAGCTCGCGCGGCACCCACTTTGCACAGAGCTTTCTCATACCCAAATATTCGTGAATGATGTGATGTATACGTTCCGTTGATATCTGTAGAGTGTCTGCTATTTCATTCAATTTCAATTTACGGTCATTCAAAATCATTTTGTGGATTTTTTTAATGTTTTCGTCCGTAACAGCCTCTTTTGGGCGTCCACTGCGTTCACCGTCTTCGGTGCTCATTTCACCACGTCTAAACTTAGCATACCAATCCTTGATGGTTGATTTTCCTGGGGCAGTGTCCGGAAATTCGTTATCAAGCCAAGTTTTTGCTTCAACTGTATTTTTTCCCTTCAAAAAGCAATATTTTATCAACACGCGAAATTCCTTTTTATCCATTTTTTTCACAATAACAAAAGTTGCTTCACTATAAATGCTATAATTCACAAACTAATGATCCGACAGCCATCAAATTTATAGACGCGTCTTTTGAAGGTTAGGACTAACTGAAAATCATATGGATTTAGTTCTGGTGCCGCCATCTATGTGTCAGGCCGGGGACTTTTCAATTGACCCTAGTATAAAACGGTAGATTTTATAAATTCTTACCCTTACATTGTTCATCGTCTACTCCTAAGTTTTTTAGGAAGAATAACTTTTCACTTTGAAGTTTTGATTTTCACTCTCGCAAAACCCTCGGAAAATTGACTTCCCCAAACTGAAAAATTACATTTTTACCAGAGGTCGATGCCCGTCTCCAGTTTGTCAATTTTGCGTTTCGACGATAATGTGACTCACTCACTCATTCCTAGTTTCTGCTTTTCACCTCACCCGTGTCGCACCCAAATTCTGCACTGCCAGTCCCACAAAAGTTACCTACTGCTTAAAAATGAATAAGTATAACAAAAGTAATAAATTTATAATATAGGGAAATATTTAAACACTTCCTGATATAACACAAAATCAATATAGATAGACAATATAAAAATATTACATACGAATATTGTAAAAAATAAAATGAAAAAGGAAATTAATATTAAACGGAACATTTTCAATAAACTGATAGAAGTGAATCGACTTTCTTTCTCACTATTGTTCACTGGGTTTCCCTAGTATATACAATCATATTTTGAAAGTATTTAGCCATTTGGTCAACACTTGACTGTTGAGTTCATTTTTTAATAATTTTTGTCTGCATTTAAAGCATACAATTGCTAAAAAAAACCTATGGTGTTAATGTATTTCTATTGGATGTAGCAATGAAATTGAGCTTTAGTAAATGCAGTCGACAAAGAAAAGGTCATACTTTCTTAGGTCAGTTCAATCAGAATGTTTCATAATTATGTATTAGGAAATTATGTTATGTTCTTAAAATACTGAATTATTTGGAAAAGTTGTATTGATTAAGTCATTCTACTGGTCTATTTGGTACAATAATTATTTAATCTGCTTTATTATTACTTTTTAATTTTAAATATACTTTTTGTTTTTGAAGTGAAACTACTATAGGGACGGTAGGAAAAAATTTACTAGGGTATAAAACCAAAGTATCAGCGTTACGCGTTACGTCAAGCGCCATGTGTGACCTCTAGTGGACATGTCCAAAAGAAGTAATTTTAACAGGCTCCAAAGGCTAACCTTTTAGTTAGTACTATAATATATAATTCACTTCTTACGCGAGTACACTAATACACGCTCGCCCCTTTTTTCTTCCATTATATGTATAATTACATTTAACATTACATTCGTTTATTTCCTAGTTTTCATTCAGAACACTCTGTTTTTATGGTTTAGAAAATCTAGACCTTTCGTTGCTTTAAATTTAACCCATATACAAAGACATATTAATTGACCTTTGACGGCATAATAAATTCGTCATTGATAGATAATGAACGACTACAAAGAAATTTTCTAAAATTTTGTTTTTCTTCTCTTATAGGCAGTGAATTATTTTTCAGAAGTTCAGAAGGCGATGTTCTATTATACAATGTGGAAACAGCAACTACACGGACATTATTGTCGGGAAATAGTTCTGTGAGTACCAGCTTTTACAGATAATTGCAATATATAAGCCTGTCTTTTTTTTTGAAAGTAACGACGTAACTTGCATCAATAAAATAAAAAGTAGTAAAAATAGTATGTAATTCTTCGTGTATGAAAAAAGCAGTACCTAGCCATTATATTCAAATAAGTTTAAAAACCTGATATTAAGCACTGGATTATTGAATAAATAATGTACATTATTTCGTCAACATATAATCAATTACATTTTTACACGCGTGTAACGTAATAATTAACTTTTAATTTTAAGTACTCGTTTTCCGTAAGGTCGTCAGTCCTAAGACTGGTTGGACACGCACCTCTACTCTTTCTTATCCTGAGCTTATTTTCGTTTAGAACGTCCCACATTCTTAACAATTTGCGAACAATAATCTAATCTAGGTTCACCTCTACTCCTCTTAACTCCTGTTTCTGCATCTAACGTGTCTCTGATTAGACGTACTGCGTACATTATATTTTCTTTAATCTCTCTGAAATTTGCCACAATATCACATACACGGAGTCAACGTTAAAGTTACATCATTGTTACAACTGTTCTACAGTGACATACTGTACATACTGTAATGTTCGTGGGTTTACAAAATTAACTTTTAAGACTGCTAACGACAGAACTATTTATTTACACTAATTCTTAAGGAACTTAAAACACTATTAAATTATTACTAAACTTAGGTGATGAATTATTCTATTTATTTACACTACTCTTGATATATCACTGTTCACTGCGCTATTTATTTCACTGCTATCACTGTCAATTTATTTCTCGATTCACTTCTGCAACGGTCAATTCATTTCTACTCTCTTTTCGGCGATCGTCTCAGCCCCGTGAAGTTGGCCCCCCCAAATTAGAAAATTATTGATTTTGCGATGCCAATAGTTTGTTAGTCGTTTGTTGGTATTTGTTAGTCAATTTTTATTGTTTGTTAGTTGATAGTTTATTAATAAATGACAATTGAAAATTCAGCGTGAAGTTGGCCCCCCCAAATTAGAAAATTTTCGATTTTGCAATGCCAATAGTTTGTTAGTCTTTTGTTGGTATTTGTTAGTCAATTTTTATTGTTTGTTGGTTGCTATTTTTTAATTTACAAGCAAAAAACCAATCGATTATTTATGTTTTTTTTGTTCACTAATAAAAACACTTTATGTATCATGATTTTTATTAAAGTGATCAAAAGTTATCTTATGCCAAAACTTGTTAAAAGATTTTTAAAGACCAAAGTTGTGATGTTAGGGAATGGTGACAATTGGTGATATATGAACTGATATGAACCATATGAACGGCTGAATAAGCTGAATTGAATATCGCGCATGCGCGACGGCCCGATCATCGTTGCGCGCGCGACAATACGATATGATGTCCGATGAGCGATTGGTTTTTTGCTTATAAATTAAAAAATAGCAACCAACAAACAATAAAAATTGACTAACAAATACCAACAAAAGACTAACAAACTATTGGCATTGCAAAATCGAAAATTTTCTAATTTGGGGGGGCCAACTTCACGCTGAATTTTCAATTGTCATTTATTAATAAACTATCAACTAACAAACAATAAAAATTGACTAACAAATACCAACAAACGACTAACAAACTATTGGCATCGCAAAATCAATAATTTTCTAATTTGGGGGGGCCAACTTCACGGGGATGATCGTCTCTTCCTTTAAATACTCATTTGCTTCCTTTCGGGAACATTCTCGAGCCGCCCGGAAAAGTTCCTTTTTCTTTGAACTGTTTAATTGCTTTCCCAGAACGCAGGTACGACATTTACAAATACGGCGCACATGAAGAAAGGCGCCCGCGGCTAGTCGGCGAATCGATAAGCCGCTCACACACACGTATACCCAATCGCACACAAACACGCTCGTGCTCGCTACAATACTTTATTGAGCTGCTCATCGATTGACCAACGTTAAAAGAATAAAAAACTCGCTGTAACGTAATTATTTTGAATCATACTTAATCTAATCTATCATATAACAAACAGTACATAAGCAAAAAAATACAAAAGAAATACAACATTGATGCTGCAGCTGTTTAAACGACGTTGCGTTGTCGTATTAAATTTACCAGGGTCGGAATTGAATGCACCTATACTTTTAGCTACTTTTTTCTCGAAAACTGTAAACTTATTTTTCTAATTTTATAGTGCCCTACCACATCCTGCAAGCACCGCACTTATTACTGTTACACTCTGTGTTTATAATTTTCTAGATTGTTTGCATTTTTCTGTTAATTCTTCGAAATTCTTTTATTACCTGTTCGTTTTGATTCTGATTTATAACCATGCTATCGCTTTCGGTCGACAGATGCATACATGTTTTTTTAACATTTCTGAACAACATAAAGTATTAAAACGATCTCACGTTCCATACACTACCAGTGATTGATAGAAAATGATATATAAGCGTTATACACTATGCATCTGTGGGCGTAACGCAACCAGCCCTTCTCTTACGCTAGTTCCTCAGTACAAATTTTTTAATAAAAATATTCCTTTTAGGTATTAGCAACTGCATTCGATTATTTTTTATCGCCAGACCGCAATTATCTTCTTATAGGACATGATTATCAAAAAGTGAGTAAATCATAATAAAAAACTTGCTCTGATTGATTTCTTCAGCTTTACAGATACAGCTTTTTGGCGCAATACACGATTGTCAATTTACTAAATCAACAAACGAAACTTGTTAATGTGAGTGGAGAAAGTATACTGCAACTTGCATCTTGGGGTCCTGTCGGAAATTCATTGATCTTTATTATGAGAAATAATATTTACTACAGGGCTAGTGCTGCCAGTGAAGAAGATACTCAAATAACAACAGACGGAAGTATAGGAAACGTGTATAATGGTGTTCCTGATTGGGTATATGAAGGTATGTCTCTCTAGCTACTTCAAGAGATAAATTAAAAAGCGTGTGGCGCATATAACAACTTCACTTGAGTTAGTGATTTGTCAAAAGTACATATGGTGAGAAGTAATATGTTTGAAATGATCTAATAGTTTCGATAAATTGCTGGCCACGAACCTAGAAGAATTTTATCGATCTGTAATTTGCCAGTGGTACATAATTAAGCAAAGACGACCAGTGCCGGATTAAGCCAGCGCGGGGCCTGAAGCAAATTCTATCAAGGGGCCCTTAGACTGTTTTAGGTTAGGTACTTATCGAGTTTATGCTATTAAATAAAACAAAATTGTTACTAACAAACTTTTCTTGATTTAATTTAAGCAAATTTATAAATAATGCTGTTGATATCGACTTCTCGGAGTAAATCATGTTCAATATTCATTAAAGTGAGGCGATTAAGACGTTGTTGGCTCAATTCATTTTTAACACGTTTTAATGTTGAGAAAGATCGTTCACCACTGCAGTTGGTGATCATGAGAGACAAATAAATGCGCAAAGCAATTTCAACGTTCGGTAAAAAAGATTGTAAAGAATTATTTATCAACAGCTTGTAAACCTGCATTTTCAGAGCCTCATGATTCCTGCTGTCAATAATACTAGCCACATCAGAATTGAGCATTGCAGCGAACTGCACTAATTCGTCGCCCAGACTGTCCTCCAAATCATCTACGTAAGCAGTTGCTATGGTTGCAGATTTTTTCAAAATTTCTTCTGGTGGAAGACATAATAATTTCTTATTTTAACTTAAAAATATCTTACCTTATGCACAGTTATTATCGTTGAATACTTTTCTCTTCTTGACTACGTAAGAACACTGTTCTATTTAGTATATTTTAAGAGATAACTGAATACTTAAAAAATCGGTTGCACCGCTATATTATGTAAGAAAACAATACTCAACACAATTACGAAACCACTTTTTTCAAGAATGGTTCATATCGAAAGTGCCATTATTATCACCCAAACGTAAATATCGATCATTCCTTATAGATTGGTAGTCAATATAACCCTTTTCAAATCGGTCGGGTTATTATCACTAGCACGGAGAAAATATTAGGGAATTCCCCGTTTTGTTTAGCAGCATTGCCAACTTGCGTGTAGTGCGGTGCGAAACATGATTTTTGGTATGACCAGCAGATAGAAAAATGAAATTATAGTTGATCATTTTGAAGCAAATATTTTCTTCTTAGTAATTGTGAGTTGTGACTAAATCTAATATNGTTGACCCATCAATACAACTCCAATTTATAGCTATCGAATAATTATTCATCCTACCGCTTAAGTATCTGAGACTTCCGTAATCGGAATTACTATTACACTATTGAATATAGGTTTTAATAAGGATCAATTGCATCCATCTGCCTTTATTGTTAAATATGTTAGTTCGGCACCTAACAATTATAAAATCAGAAGGTGATAGTAAATAGAGGGTGTGAGGTTCAATCGAAAAGGCCCATTTTTTAGTTTTGTCACGATAATTCAAAAATTATGCACTTTACAAGTTTTTCACAATGATACTTATTTGTAGGAAATTAAATTTCCCATCGGAGTTCTTTGTTACAGAATTCTTATTTTTTTTTAAATATCAAAAATACGTACTAAAAAAGATAAAAATGTGACGAAAATCACGTTTTTCCTTTTTTTTAAATAATTCGTCCATAACTTCTTTATGAAGCGTTTTAGGTATGCATAAAGCTTAATAGAAAAAACTCATGAAAAATCACACTTTTAACCATTCTTTTGTACTCTGTACCGCCAGCGGTTACCGAGATATCGTTATTTTACCCATATTTCTAAAAGGTTGTACTGTATTTCAAATAAAACTACTAGACTAGCTGAAAAGAAAGTATCTACAGGACAATGACACCAAACAGGGATAACTCTTATTATAATTACATAAATGACTCATCAAAAATTTTACATGAACTTTTAAGTTTATGAAAATACAAAAAAACGGTGTTTTATTAACTTACTAATCAATTTATAACAGTTTGTATTATTACTGAAGGTGCTTATTACACCTTTAAACTCTTGTTTTAGAGGAAGTTTTCAGTTCAAATAAGGCTTTTTGGTTTTCACCTGATGGAACAAAATTGGCATATGCTAAATTTGATGATCGAAACGTTCCTTTAATGACAATTCCTGTTTACGGGCTACCTGGTGACCTGAACTTTCAATATACTCGAGCTGTTCAAATAAGGTATCCAAAGGTCAGTACTACAAGATAATGAGAAAATATTTTGATTTTTTAATTTGTTTTTTCGATAACAAAAAACGTCAATGAAATGTAATTAAGTATCTAAAGCTGTGTTTTCACAATTTATAAGGTTTATCGTGTTCATCTGAATCATAATTTAACATATTTGCTGAAACGGCAACTTCATAATATTAGTTTATTATTTGTATATTTCTATTTCAAAATAGAATACGCGCCAGCATTTTGCCGAAACTGTCAGATATAAATTGGGTTGGGGCATATTTGGAATCCATGCATAGAAAGCGTGTGATGTCACTATGCTGTAGTATCTAGTAGATAAAGATCACGCATTGCGGCCGCCGTAGCTGAGAATAGGTGCCCACTGTTTTCGTAGTTATCACTGAACTGTACATTACGTAAACTAGAACGTTAACTGCTCGCATAGAATAAAGCCGAACGTTGAAACGTGCCGCTGCTCCGGACGGTATGCCATCTTTTGTGCGCCTCACTCTAAATCAAGTTATAGTACCTGCCAAGGTAACTATAATGGAATATAAATGGTAGTAAAACAATAGTCTAAATGTACCGTAAAAATATATCACCTATTGTTTATTAATTATTATAGTAAGTATAATGAAATACCGCAAAACACGATGGTTGGCCCTTTAGCACCTGTACAAAATTTTTAAAAATATAGGAACCGTTAAAATCATACGTCACAGGATAAATGTTCACAAAGCTTGAGTTCTTCCACAACCAAGCTGCATCCTTTCACAATCCTATCAAGATTAGTAAAGGGGACAAAATTTCAATTACGGAAGTGTCAAATGAAATCCGAATTTTCTGAAATAAGCAAGAAATTTTTATAATAACTGCTGAAAATATCTTGAAGAATGGACAGTTCCAGGATATTAAAAATTTTCATTAGGTTATATAGGAGATTTTATGGGATGTACTTGTTAATTTCTCGGGCTCTGGGAATGGACCCCCCACGTCGATTGCGATTCGTTCGAAGGGGCCACCGACATTGTATTGACGCATTGGCGCCCTTGGCCTTTTCTGTGGCCCATTACTCGCGGCACAGGTGGTACACTTCTTACACCAATTCTTGACATCTTCCTTACAGTTCATCCAATAAAATCACTCCAAAATGGCCACCAGAACACCTCTCTAACCTTGTTTCGAGGAATAACCAGTTGCTTCCTATCTTCCTCTCCATCTGGACTTTCAACAAAACGCTTCAGGATGCCATCCTCCAAAACCATTGAGTCCCACGGAGCCCATAACGATTTTAGTACATGGGTACAGGAAGAAACTTGCTGCCACGTTGACCGTTTTCCGTCCTTTTTCCATTCTATTATCTTCTTCAAGTCCGGGTCGTTTTCTTGGTCGTGTTTTATATTGTTAGGTAACCATCCGTCATCGATTACCTCGTGTTTTATATTGTTAGGTAACCATCCGTCATCGATTACCGTGACGCGTCGAATTGCCTCTTCGTTCTTTTCCATTCGATCACACTGCTTGCAGTCTGCTTGTCAAATGCCGTTTAACAATCCGAATCCCAATGGAATTTGCGGTCACTTTCGGTTAAACGTGTCAAAGGTTTGGCAATATTGGCGAATCCATAAACATAGGGACGATAATAAGTGCACAATCCCAAGAAGCTTCTTATTCAGGCACTGGCCATTCCTTCACGGCCTTTATCTTCTCTGGATCCACGGCCACGCCCATCGCTGATACAACATGTCCCAAGTAAGAAACCTCTTCGCGGAAAAGGTGGCACTTTTTCGAACTGAGTTTCTAATTGGCCTCACGTAACCGCTGGAATACCGCTTGCAAATTCTGCAGGTGTTCATTAAAGGTGCTTCCAATCATTATGATATCATCCAAGTATACCAAGCAGGTCTTTCCAATTTGATCACTGAAGATTTTCTCCATTAACCTTTCGAACGTCGCCGGGGCATTGCATAACCCGAAAGGCATAACTCGCCGTAGCGCAACTCTAACCGTTTTACCAACCGTTCATAATCCGCCAATTCTTCCAGGGAAAGGGTGTTAAAAATGTCACATGCATCTCCACGAAGCGCAACAGTCAACGCAGTGGCTTTTTCTTCAGGCGCCCAATTATTCGCCTTAGCAGCCGCCTCGAATTGCTTGTGGTATGTGGTCCATGAGAACTTCCCGTCAAACGTTGGTGGTTTTACTCGTGTTCTTGACTCTATACCGTTCCCTTGGCTGGTTTAGCTGGCTTTGTTGAGTGTACTGGATGCGCCAACATCCCCTTCGGTTGGTTTTGTCTTTCCATTAAAAATCAATTCTTCCAGCACTTTTATCTTCTCTTCTGTGTCTTGAATATTCTTATTAAATTTTTCTTCCCATTTATTCTCCAAACTTCTACTGTTTTCTTCCAATTCACGTTTCAAACTTTTACTATTTTCTTCCAATTCACGTTTCAAACTTTTACTATTTTCTTCCCATTCACGTTTCAAACTTTTACTATTTTCTTCCAATTCGCGTTTCAAACTTTTATTATTTTCCTCCAATTCACGTTTCAAATTTTTCCTATTTTATTCCAATTTATTTTCCAAAATTTTTCTGTTCCAATTTATTTTCCAAAATTTTTCTGTTTTCTTCCAATTTATTTTCCAAACTTTTACTATTTTCTTCCAAGTTTTGTAAACTTTTCATCATTTGCGAGAATTCGTCTTCGAAAAGGAACGTCTCAGGATCATGACTATCCTTTTTCAACGCCTCCGCGAGCCGCCACTGGAGTTCCACTTTGTTACCGCTTGTCGCTTCATCCCGTTCTCCCAATTCTCTTCTTAACTCGGCTACTTTTAATTCGTACAACTTCTTTGCCATTGTAATGTTTTTTACTCAACCCCGCACCTGACACCAGTTGTAATGTTCGTGGGTTTAACAAATTAACTTTTAAGAAGAAAGCTATTTATTTACACTAATTATTATTGAACTTAAAAACACTATCAAATTATTACTAAACTTAGGTAATTATTCTATTTATTTCACTTCTATCACTGTCAATTTATCTCTTGATTCACTTCTGCAACGGTCAATTTATTTCTACTCTACTTCGGCGATAGTCTCTTCCTTTTTATACTCCCTTGCCTCCTTTTGGGAACATTCTCGAGCCGTCCGGAAAAATTGCGTTTTCTTCGAACTGTTTAATTGCTTTCCGGAACGAAGGTAAGACACCCACGTTTACAGATACAGCACACATGAAGGCGCCCGCGGCTAGTCGGCGAATTGATAAGCCGCTCACACACTCAGACACTTAGAATCTAGAACCCTCCGAGAGACAGCCGTGGTGTACGGCAGTCCGGTGGTCCAGGTGATGTCTACAATAGACGATCTGGAGCTTGAGCAGAAGGCAAGAGAGCTTTATAGGTCGGAGTGGCCGTTCAAGTCCCCCACAAAATAACTGGCAATTTTGAGGAGCGAATAACGCTTTCCAGCCTGCACAATAACGCCGTGAAGGCTAAAAAGCTATTTATGGATACTACATTAGCTTCCTTGATTTTACGTGCTTGGATAATCAAATATTTTAATATTCAATTTTAAAAATGATCATTTTTTAATAATAAACGGTTCTCTTGTCGACCCATCCGACTGAGCTTTACGCACGGTATGGGAAAACACCGTATTATACAATCCTTCGTCATAGCAACAATATAGAGAGTCGTTTGCGATTGCCAAATAACTCTGTAAAAAATATACTGCTTTAGCCGTATTATGCTCTAATTTCAGCTCTTAATATTAAAGTCCATCGAATTATTTTGGTTGGTTTTAGTGACTAATCTTTATAATCTTTAAGATTTTCTATGTCATGTCCCAACCCAATTGCGATTTCGAACTTGCAACACTAAACGTCATCTATCATAATCGTTTACAATAGCCTAGATATTTTTGAAACTTTATTCGCTTTATTTTTCTGAAGTATATGATTGTAATCTATTCTACATAATAAAATATGTTACTATTAACGCATACAAATAACCAATTTTACAACTAGTATAACCTAATGAATACTTCCTTGCACGATGCATAACGATAAAATAGCTGGACTTGGATTTTCTGCAATAGTACCATTAATACTTACAACTTTATTATGACCTTTAATGTTAACATTGACAACTTAGAAATGGATTCTTTGCACTTTGAAATGATTGTGCTATGTATCATTTTTTCATCCAAATCCTTTTTAGGGAACGTGGTAATATATTTTAAAGTGGTTAGTTTTTTTTTTAAAGTGGATAATTATTTTCTCAAAGTGCACCCTACTCATAATTTTTTAATTTATGTCATGCTATGCCAGGCATTTATTAGTCGTAATGTAAACATATATTTTCAAATATGAAAGCAACCGCTTCAAAAAATATGATTAACGCAAGGAGGTATATCCCAAAAATAAAATACAAAAAACGTTAAACGTAAAATGTCACACGAGTAAAATGGGTTTCGTGCAGGAAGTATAAATAGGTCAATTTTTAAAATTAAATTCTGACACGAATATCTTTCATCGTTTTTTGGTATATAAGAATTAAACCCAATTATTGTGCGTCGTAATTTAGCACCTCTTAACTTTCTGCTGTGTGTTTCTGTGTACATTGGCCATATCTAGATAAACATTTAAATTTAAAAATCATTGACTAACAATAAGTAATACTTAATGTATTTTTTATTTTAGGCTGGAACTGTTAATCCAACAGTTACATTTCATGTCGTAAATTTGCAAAATCAGTTTTCTCAACTTATATTGAGTCCTCCAGATGCATTACGCAATGTGTATGTATTCTACTTCTTACTTTCAAATTTTATACTTTTTATTTTCGATAGTAATAACAAAGAAACGGGCTTAGGTAAGTACCTCAAATATCAGATTGTATATTTGCGCTTTTCTTTTGTATATAGAGACAATATTTTGGCCACAGTCAATTGGGCAACGAACACAACTGTCACTGCTATATGGATGAACAGGGTGCAGAATTATGCCGAAATTTTAGCATATGTTATTTCCGACACAGTTGCAACTTCGGAAACGGTAGTAATACGTACAAATAAGGATGTTAACACGTCACAAAGAATGCATTGATTTTAGATTGTCAGTATTAATAAAACAAATGGCTGGATAGAATTATTTACGCCACCTCTTTTTTCCGATGATGGTACTAAAATGGCTGTTATTCTATCTCAAGACCAAGGAAATAATTTAGGAGGATATAGACATATTACACTATTTAATGTTAATCAAACTTCTTCAGCAAATGTAATTACAAATGGAAAATTTGTCGTCGGAGAAATTTTATCCTGGGATAGTAACAACAACCTAATGTAAGATTTGCATTTATACTTTAGAAGTAAGCAAATTCTATTAAATTCCAAATTCACATTTTCACCCTTTAATTTAAGTACTTGCACTTAAGCCTTCAATAAAAATTTAAACTTTCTCATTTGGGTCACCATTTAAAAATAACGAGATATTGACACGAATTGTATGTAGTGGGCTAAAATAATACTATTATAAAGTGTAAGCACCTGTCGGATAGTGCGTCGCTTTGAAAATTGACCGCGAATATCGACAGCGCGGGGATTCTAAAAATCGTCATTACTATAGAAATTGTTGTTAAATTAACAAAAAATTTCCTTTGGACAGTAAATCCACAAAAATTGGTATCAAAAGTGGGATTTGTAAATTTTCAACAGAACATTCTATTTCGAAGCAGCTGACTGTGGTATACTTGGTATATGTGCGATTTATGACACGTTCCACCAGAGCACAAGGGAGAACAATCAGAAACCAGCTGAAAGGCATTATAGTAATGCTTAACCAACAAAAAGAAGCAGAGGAAAAAAGACGAAAAAAAACAAAAAGAACCCCAAATGATTTAACATTGACCAGGGAGGTTACACAACAATGCGGACGTCTTTTTAAGAAGATCCTGGGAAGACTGTAAGCACTGTTGTCTAGTTGAAGAACGGAGCAGCCTAGTCACAGTTAGAAAAGCCTAGCACGACTACCCGTATGTAGTATCCATAGAACGGGAAGGAACAACTACCTTTACAACAATTATCAATGCTGATGATCTGAATTGGACTGCTTGCTACACTGAATTGAACTTTCCTTTGTAACGATTGCTGTACTAAGCAAAGTCAGGGTCAGTATGAGCGAGTAATAAAATCACACTATCTAATCTGTAATATAAGAAAAACGGTTGACTAGCTTCGAACAATAAAAGGATATGTGGTCGCATTTTGATTCAATATTGAGGCAGGTGCTGAATAGACGCTCTCACTATGAAGCGTGTATAATGTCGGAAAAGCCGTCCTGTATACCCCCCTAATATGTTGGCTGACATGTAGCTTCTTCCTGAGTTCCATGGTCATTTGGCAACGATTGCAGCGTAAGGGTTTGTAGCTACAATCAATACTGTTGGATCTACTTACTTTGAGCTCAGGATAATCTATTGAATCCCCGTATGGGTCTCTTCATTCTTGTCTAAATTTTTCTTCATTTTGGGCATCCTTAATTGCCGTTACTAACCATGTAACATTTCGAGTACCACAGGTCACTAGTGCATAGAGATAAGAATATAATTACTCGTTGCAGTGTACATAACTAGTCTGGGCGTTTATCGCAATGTGAATTGTACTGCCTGCTGTACCAAACTGTTTACTGTATTGACATTATTTTTCCTCTGTAGAATAGACAAAGTAACTTGTAGGTATACACAAACCGACAATAGAAAGTCATAGTTCTTGAGTTTAATGACGAATAGCAGATCTTTTTTTAAACCCTCGGAACGAAATTGGTTAACAGTTGCACTGTTTATTCTTGTTACTGAGCGGAGTGCGTGTTGTTCTTGCCTCAGCATTATAGAAATCCAATTAAATAACACAGCCTGATTGATCATGATTTACCCGCATTGTTTGTAGGGTTTTTTCCTTTCGTTGTCTAGGGGTCGTTCAATAAAAGGATCCGAGCAGTTGAATAAGTATATAATAAACGTAAAGATGAACATAAATACCAAACGAATGAACACAAACAACAACTATACATTGTTTAATTTCTGTAGCGATGTGATCTTCAGTTTGACCGGCGCAAAGTAGAAAAGAACAGCACTAGGCCAGAAAAGAAAGGAGACAACTCTCGGCCAAACTCTTAACCGGTACTGCACAGAAAAATTGACCATTTCATCCACTACAATTGCATTGTTCAAATGTGCTGTTATTGGTACCATTTACTACTGAAAATATCAGCGACATGTTTATTTATATTTGAAGACATATTAAAGGATTTAACGCTTGTTTTCGAATCGCACTACTATTCATGATTGAACAAAACTTTTAGTAGGTACTGTATGAAAAAGTATGTTTAATGAACAAGAGTCGAGAGTATAATGAGCTTTTTTCTCGCTGCCTACGATTTTGCCAGCGCGCATCCAAGACATTGGACGGGTCATATCGCTAGAGAAAGTAAATGAAGTATAAATGTAAAACAATAATCTTTTAATTTTTTAATGCATCACGTCCTAACATAACGTCTTCATCTTCAAAAAATACATACATCTTAGTAATATAAACATAAATACGTCTTAAAATACATCTTCCGTCTTTTCGAACAAAATGCTCTGCGTCTAATAGAAATTTGCACAGTTTCGTCTTAATGATTCTTCTTCGTGTATTAACTAAATGGGGTTATTGTTGAAAAAGGTCAAATTAAGGACTTATTAAATAATATTTACAAATAAAAGGAAAATGAGTGTTGTTGTTTCCTATCGTCAGTATCCCTCAAAAAAGATATTAATAAAAATTAATAAACAAATCCGAATAACCGTATCACTTGACTAGTGCTGCTTCTTCCCAGGTCTTATCAACGAAAAAAATCGTAAATGCGTAAATCGAATACAGCAATTTATCGGATCACTCGCGCAGCACTTTTGGCGACTCGTTCGGGAACGCTGAAGCAAATATAATACGCGAGCGGAGTAATTAACAGCTTGAGTGTGGCATTGTTTAACCGTTACAAACACTTGACGCATCATTTTTGGTATACAGAGTGGTCACTCTTACAGTGCATACCATAGGAATATCCAAAACGGTAAGAGATACAGCGTGGTTAAATTAGAGGAAACCTGTGTCTTTTTTATGCTCTTCAAGAATCGGAAAAAAACTATGTAAACTTCAACCGTTCTTGAGTTATCGCAAAGAAATTGAAATTTGCCATTTTTTCTTTTTTAACTTTTCTATTTAAGTCAGCAAAATTATGAAAATTACTACATTTACATTATTGACAATGGGCTTGATATTAATGAATAAATACATAAATGACGTTCTAAGGAGAGACATAAACGTTCTAACTTCAATGTGTGATATATCAATGGCCTATTTATAGGCATAAAAGTCCAACATGGTGGCCATAAGAATACCGAAATGAACATTAGAACATAAATAAAAAGTTATTAAAGAAAGAAGAAAATGGAAAATTTCAAAGCAAAAAGAACGCAGATTTTCTCTAATTTATCCCACACTGTATCACTTACCGTTTCGGATATCCCAATGGTATGTAATATAAGAGTGGTAAAAAAACCGTTAGCGACACTTTAATTAATGATAACATTTAATATTTCTTAATGAAAAGGTTGATGAGATTAAGTAAGACAGATATAGAAATGTTTGTAATTGCAAGGTTGATATTTCGTAAAGGGTCAAAGAGAGGAACGTATCACTTCCAAAAGTCATAAGTAAAGAAAGAAAGTTTCAGTACGCGACCTGACAACCTTTTGCTTTTTATTAAACGAATAGTAAAAGAAAATTTCGTAATTAAATTTCCTATATGGCGCAATTGCTTGCAAATCACGAAATTCATTTTTTCCTTTGCATTATGCGACAACTATAAGGATATGTGGTCGCATTTTGATTCAATATTGAGGCAGGTGCTGAATAGACGCTCTCACTATGAAGCGTGTATAATGTCGGAAAAGCCGTCCTGTATACCCCCCTAATATGTTGGCTGACATGTAGGTTCTTCCTGAGTTCCATGGTCATTTGGCAACGATTGCAGCGTAAGGGTTTGTAGCTACAATCAATACTGTTGGATCTACTTACTTTGAGCTCAGGATAATCTATTGAATCCCCGTATGGGTCTCTTCATTCTTGTCTAAATTTTTCTTCATTTTGGGCATCCTTAATTGCCGTTACTAACCATGTAACATTTCGAGTACCACAGGTCACTAGTGCATAGAGATAAGAATATAATTACTCGTTGCANATTATATCTATACACCAACCATCATGGGATGAATTTTTGAGGGAGTAACCCATGCTGCATTAGTCTGGTAGAGCAGGACCGCACTAATCCACTCTTATAAGGAGTTGGAAAAGTTGAGAAGATTCGTGCTAGGGACGGTGCTACTAAGACGGTGAGGTTCTCCTCCATGGTACTTTGGTAACCCTTAAAGCGCCCACAATAAAGGTCCTTCAAAGGATTAAAAAAATTCACAGAGAGGAGAATAAAGTGGTACTTATTAAGCTCCTCAAGAGTGGAATTAAGATCCTTTTTATCTTTGATAAAGATACATGAGGAAATACAAGAGCAAAATTAACGGAAGAAAAATATGAACGAAATCATTAGGTATTAAGTTTTGCACAGATAAAGAAGCAGAGAGAGCTGATAGAGAAACAAAGTGTAGTGGTAACAGCATAGAAAACGAAGAAGTCATAACAAAGTTACTTAAGTACATGTACGAGACTGAGAAAGTTCCTGTGACATGAAAGTAGCCGTACCACAAAAAGGAAGATGAGGATAGATGCGAGAATTTGAGAACAATTACTTTAATTATTATACGTCAAAAATCTTAACTACAACAAAAAATGGAAATAATAGGGAAGACCAATTCGGGTACACGATTAATAATTTTTTAATAGTAACAAACGACTGACAAATATTAGGTGAAAGTAAGTACGTAATATACAGGTGAATGCAAACCAATTGAATTTTATGTGGCGCTCATTCCAGCACTGCTAATCACGATGCTCGTCGCGCTTTCAATTATAGTGCCTGCCATCCTACAAAAGTAGGTTTTTTTTATGCAAGACTTATTTTGTCCTAGCGGTGAGCAGCGAGACTGCATTTTCGATTAAGTATGTAATAAATAAAATGGGGCAAAAAAACACTTCTTTTTTTGGCTTCTACTTCACATTGACCCATTAGTATGGCAACATGATTAACCATTTCTATATCAGTAGGATCTATATTTTCAAAAAAAATTATGCATTATAAAATGACTCACTGAAAACTGTCGCTAGATCTATAACGTAATCTCAGCAGCCCACTACAGGCTACCTTTAACACTTTTTCATGTACCTGTGCATAAAATGAAGTCACATCACAATGTAGAATAAAAATTTATTTTTTTCCGTTTATTTTGTCTTTTATTTAAAAGGAATAATAGATTTTCATATATGTTGCAGATATTATACATCCAACACTGAAGAAGATCCTGCAGTACAACATGTATATAGTGTATCAACAGTTTCAAAAAACAGAACTTGTCTGTCTTGTAACACAGATCAATCGTCATTATCAACAGACTGTTTGTATAATTCTGCAGATTTTAGTTTAGATCATACTCATTTTGCACTTAAATGTGAAGGACCAGGGGTTCCTCAAATCTCTATCTTTCGCACTAACAATCAACACGTAACCGATTGGACTAATGGTGACGAACTAAAATCCAAGTTGCGAAATAAATCTATTCCAACTATAAAGCAAATGTCATTTGAAGTAGCAGGAGGCTTTGTCGCTCAAGTATTGCTCAAATTACCTCCCAATTTAGATACCAGTGGGAACGTAAAATATCCAATGGTTGTACATGTGTAAGTTAATAGAATTATAACAAATATGGCCTAAAAATATTGCAAAAAAAAGTATATTGATTTCAAACTTCGAAGATACATTTTACTAATTTTTGTTTCTTAATTTTCTTTTCGGCTTGATTTTATAATGATTATTTATAACATCGAAAATAACCAACCAATCTGTAAACGCTACCTATTGAATTGTAGTAACTACGAAAACATACGTACAGTGCCGTTTTGCGTTCGCAATGATGTTAGACCTAACGGATGGCATCTATTGTCATTAAGAATATTATCATACTATTAATTAATTATACTATTAATTAATAGGCCATCGTAAGCATGTGTCCTTTGTCCGTCATTTGCTAAACCGCTCATGTCGCGTAAATACTAGGCTCGTCTTCTGATCGAACGCACATTCCAACAAAATTGTTGGAGACAAAAATTTAGAAATCTTAAATATAGTCGAGTGAGGTATCATTCGAAGATATAAGGAAATGACGTATGTTCTTCGATTTTTCATCAGAATTATAGTTTTTGAGTTATAAGCTGTAATATAGTACAGGCAAAGCCGCTGCGGCTTACCACCAGTATTATGCTTCAGTTCTTGGTCAGAAATTTATCGAAGCTACCAGACACGGATCGCGATTTCGTAGGCAATCTTAATAAATTACTAATAAAATCAAAGAAGCTCATGTAGAGAAAGTTTATGTAATATCCAAATTGAGGCAGTATATCGACATCTAGTAGATATTTGTTCCTATTAAAGTATTTCATCTATTATAGAAAACCTTACTGGTGTATTAAAATTTGTTTAACCAAATCGTCTACCCAACATTCACCCAAACCAATTAATAAGATCATTTAAGTTTTTGGCCAAAACTTTATAAAAACTACCATACGCAGATCGCAATTTCGATCTTTTTAGATCTCATCAGCTCGCCATAGAGTTTCAATAAATTTCTTTTCAAAAACTTAAACGTTCCTATTAATAATTGGTTTGCGTACGTATCACGTATGAAAGCTGCGTCGACAATTCAGTTAGACAAATTTAAATACCCTAATAAATCCAACACATGAAATATTTCAGTAGCAACAAATATCCACCAGATAACGATGCACTTCCTTTATTGGAATATTATGTCTAAAACGATTTTAATAAAATGGATATGTGTATATTATATATTTATACTTATAGATTCCTAACACGTATTAAACTTTAGAATTATCGTCGGAAGCACAATGCACTAATATTATTGAAGGTTCGTTTAAAATAAAAGATTACTTTTTAAGATATGGTGGACCAGATTCTTACCAAGTTATCAAAAAGTATTCTATGGACTGGGGATCATATTTAGCTTCCAATAAAAGTATAATTTACGCTATGATAGATGGAAGAGGTTCTGGCCTTAAAGGAGATAAAATGTTGTTTTCCTTATACAGAGCTTTGGGAACTGTTGAAGTTTCTGATCAAATAAACGTAACGAGGTAGTTAATAACAGTTTAATTTTATTTTATATTCAATAATGGTAATATTAAAAAAAATACGATATACTGAAATGAACTATAATTTCACTTTATAAGGTTTCTAGACAAACATCAGAGAAAATAGTATTATCTGCTAGCAACAATGTTTATTTTTTGTAATTCTGAGTTTTTTTTCTTCTATTATCATTTTATGATTTTAGTAAAATGCTTTACTAATTTGTAGACAAATCCAGCTAAGTTTGCCGTACGTTGATTCCAGTAAAACTGCCATTTGGGGTTGGAGTTACGGTGGTTATGCTTCAGCAATGGCTTTAGCCAAAGATGTCGATGGAGTTTTTAAATGTGGAATGTCCGTAGCTCCTGTTACAGATTGGACCTTGTATGGTAAATCATTTTAATTTTTTAAAAACTAGTAAAGGTATCAGCAATTATTTCCACAGACTCGGTGTACACGGAAAGATTTATGGGTCTACCATTACCAGGGGATAATTCTGAAGGTTACAAAAATTCACTACTTCTCTCACAATATGAAGGAATAAGAAAAAAAGATTATTTTCTAATTCATGGTACATTAGATGACAACGTTCATTATCAGCAGTCCATGCTTTGGGCCAAAGTATTAGAACAACAGGATATTCTTTTTCGACAATTGGTACGAGGATAAATTTATACTGTTTGAAGTTGTTCTATTTCAATTTTGTTAATATGTTCTAGAGTTACCCAGATGAAGATCATGGATTAGCAACTATTCGACCTCATTTATATCACTCATTGGAAAACTTTTTAAATGAATGTTTCCTTCTTTAAATTCAATTAAACAAAACTTTCAAAAAGAAGTAGTCGTGAAATCACTTTATACATTACCATTTGATAGTTTCATAACGGCTACGTTTGTTTACTGATAAATTAAACTAGTCAAAAATGTTGTTGAAAATAATAATGAAGTATTTTTAGGATTGTTTATCTTGTTGAGTAAGTATTACCATTTGTACGTTATTGTTAATAAAAGTCACATTTATTTTATAAAATGCCCTTTATTAAATGCTAAAAGAAAACGGAGTTTGTAATTTGATGACATGACAGTTCATCTACTGCAGTACTACATACCGTAAACCTGTACAACTAAACCATCTGCTAGAAAAAACAGTAAAACTTCCCTAATTTGAACCATCTAAATACAACGAGTTATTTATAAGGAAAAATTCGGGTTAAGAAATACTACTTTACCATTACACTTTTTAATTATTGTTTCAAATACATCGCTTCTACGTATATTACTGTTGCTTTACCCTAACAACCTTAATATCTATCATCCATGGTCATGATGTCAAACAGTATACCTAGGTACTTGGTTGATGTTATCTTGTTCTACCATAACATTATAATTCTTATCAAAGGGCTGTTTTTTGCTAATACAAAGTACTACAGCGAAAATTTATTATGGTAATAATTCCGCTTAAAAATGCGGCTTATTTTCCCGAAAAAATCAATAGAACAAACACCTACTTAATATTTACATGACCATTGAAAATGACAAAAATTAACAGCTTGTCCTAACAATCCGGTAGTAATCTCACAATTGTAATAATCAAACAACTAATTAATATGACGAGCGGGAAGCAATTTCCCGATTTAGACCAAAGGTCACGTAAAACAAAGGGCCTCAAAATGTCTAATTTGTGATAACGTCTACCATCATAGTGAGTTTCTAACTTTAATAAACACTAGTTATATTAGTGAACGTTAAGTGATATGTAAATTAAATCTAACCCCAAAAGTGGAAGAAAATTCACATTAACCGAAAACAGTTCATGAAATCGCGAAGGATATTCAACATGCGAATTTGATTGGCACTAATAGTGATTATTGTGAAAATTCAAAATTCCATCCCATATGAAACAAATTTGTCTATAAACAAGGCTTCTGCAAATGATAAAGATGCAACAACTGTTCCTTTATAGCATATCACACTGTCACATGAGAGGAGTCAACGTCCCCTGCTATTTAACGTGTATTATTTTGGGGATTGTCTTCTTCGAAATAAAGGATGTCGTTCCTACATCGATTACCTCATAGAAAGTTTAAACGTTAAAAGCATAGACGACTACTAGAGGTTGACTGTTAACATAAACATCCTGAATCATACTTAATTCAATTTAACAAATAAACAATATATAAGTAAAAAATACAAAAAAAATGCTACACTGATACTGGGATACAAACATTTACTTAAATTTGATAATAATTAACAGTTTGGTACCAAAGCAAACAAATGTGAAGGTGGTTTCACTTTTATACAAAACCAGAGAAACAAAAAAGCTGTCCTTAACGCAAATGGGAAACGACACCAGTTTACTCCAGAAGGAATACCGTACATTTACGACAAAATGAATAAAATAAAGTTTCTTGTAGACTCCGGTTCAGTACTATCAGTATTACCTCTAGATCTCATCAAAACAAAACTAAACCGTGGTCCAATTAAATTGTAAGCTGCAAATTCTAGTGTCATAAATACCTACGACAACAGAATCTTGCAGGTAGATTTTTTTGCACAGATCCTTCAAGTGGTCTTTTATGATAGTAGATATAAAAACGCTCATTATAGGAGCCGACTTTCTCAGTTATTTTGGTTTGGTAATTCATCTTCATAAGCAATGCCTCATTAATACTAATCCAACTCTTACTGTAAAATATGACGTAACGCAAACTTTCGCGTTCAGCATCTCCACTCTGAATCAACAAAACACTTATTCTAACCTATTGAAAGATTTTATTGATATTACAAAGCCTGCTACAACTCCACGCACAGAAGCTACTTTTCCAGTTGCTCATTACATCGAAACTAGTGGATTTTTTTTAACGTCCTAGGAAGCTAACTGGTGTAAAGCTAGAACCACTTCGTCTTGAAATCGAGTTTATGCTCGAACAACACATCCTAAGAGCTTCAAGAGGTCCATGGGCAAGTGATCGATGCCCACTACCACTGCTTCAAGACTTATTCCAGCGTCTTCATGGAAAAAAAGTAATCTCAACTTTGGGTTTAGTAAGAGCGTATCATCAGATTCTCATGGCAGAACAAGACATTCAGAAAACTGCAATCAATACACCATTTGGTATGTATGAATATGTTGTTATGCCATTCGAGTTACGCACTTCATCACAAACATTTCAACTGTCTTCAGAGGCCTTGAATTTGTTTTTGTTTATATAGATGGTATATCAGAAAACCATGAACCAATAGTGTAATCAATTATTATTGCAAATGCTTGGTTGACGCAGCTAAACTTCAAGCATCTCTCAATGAGTTTATCAAAGATTCAAAGAAAACTGATAAACGTTAAGTTCCATGGATATCAGAAACAAACCGAGCATTCAAGATGTTTAAACGAAATGTAGCAGAAGCAACACTTATGTCTTTTCTAGATCCTAACGCACCTTTAAAACTTAGAACAGATGCTTCTGACACAGCAGTGGGAGCAGTCTTAGAACAATTCGTAGAACAGCAATGGAAGCTTATAGGCTTGTTCTCAAGAAAGCTAAACTCAATTGATGATGAGAATTCCTCGCAGTTCATTCAGCCATAACGTTTTTCCAGCATTTCCTAGAAGATCGCACATTTATTGCGAAAACTGATCATAAGCCTCTTATGTATGCATTGCACAGAAAATCCGAGCAAGCCTCATCTCGTCAACTTCGACAGTTTCATTCATATTACAGTTCAACACAAAAATAGTATACGTAAAAGGTGAAGATAACATTATAGCTGATACCTCGTTAAGGATAAATCAAATCAACATGCCAACAGTACTTTGTCCACAAGAGATTCAACGAGCTCAAGCTGACGACGAAGAACTTCAAAACCTATTACAAAATTCTAACTCTTCATTGAAATTGAATCATCTCAACGTTGATCCTGAACAAAATGTCTTCATTTATTGTGATATTTCTTCTGGTATTGTTAAACCATTCATTATTAGAAACTTCGCAAAGCAGCTTTTTACACAATTAACGGTTTATCTCATCCAAACGGCAGGACAACGAACAAACAAAAACAAAATGCATCTAAAAGTACAGCGACATACCACAACCTAACCATATTGAATTACCAAGCATCAGGTTCAATCATATCCACATTAACCTCATTGAATTACTTACAGTTGATGAATACAGGTATTGTCTCACAATTGTAGACAGATTTTCTCTTTGGTCAGAAGTCATACCAGCTAGAGATATGACTGCAGATACAGTAGCGACTGCTATTTTTGAGAATTGGATTTGTGCTACGTTACACCATTATCAATCACTTCTGATCAAGGTTTGAGTCAGCCGTTTTCACTTCAATAGCAAGATTAGTTTGCGCTTCAAGTATTAGAACAACTCCATCCAGCTTCCAATGGAATGGTAGAGCGCATGCATTGAACTCTAAAATCACATGAGAGTATCATCCACAATTTCCTTGGACTCGGCGTCTGCCAACCGTGCTCATGGGACTTCGCACGTGTGTTAAACACGATTTAAGAGCCTTACCAGCAGAACTATTGTACGGTACAACGCTACGTGTTCCTACAGAACTTTTCGTAAATCAGGACATGCCAGCAGATCCACAAATTCCGAAAAATTCAGAAAATACATGAGAAGCATCAGACCAACTCCAACTGCTCATTATACGAAAGCTCAAGTCTTCATACTTAAAGACCTACACAGCTGTTCACATGTATTCCTAGGAGTTGATAGAGTAAACAAAAACCACTCAAACCACCGTACTCCGTACCTTATCAAGTGATAAAACGAGTCAATATCAGAGTGTTCAAAATGAATGTCAATGGTGAAAAGAAGTCTACAGAAACACTTAAACCCGCTTATGAAGCAAAAACCGACGTCACTACCTTAGCCCAAGACGATGTACCTGAAACACCAAATCCACAGCAGTGAGGCTCGAGCATGGACCGACCCAAGAAGACGTACATACGAGGCGCAAGTGTGCCGGCGTGAGCAGTTGGTAGCAATCAAAAAGCAAGCAGCGAAGAGTGAAAAAAGATATAGCATAATTTATATCACGCCACAGCTGTGGTCCTAAAAATATTTCTTAATTGTTTGGTTGCGATTTTGTACCAGTAAGAGTTAATAAATATTATAATTAGTTTAAACGGTTGTTCCCACTTTTTAATAGTGTTGAGTTTAATCAAAATTTGTCCAAAATAAAAGTTGTCTAAAAGTAAAAGTGAAATTTAGTATGTGAGAGACGTTCTGAAAAGAAGAGGCATAAAGTTCGTCGACGACTGGAATGATTATGTATGTGAAGGTTGTTCTTATGGCAAGCAGCACTGCAAATCTAACCCCTTAAATGAGAAGACAGCCAAGCATCCCCTGTATCTTGTACATGTGGACATGGGCGAGATGAGAGAACCTTTACAAGTACTTCTTAATATTTAAAGATGATTTTTCGCACTTCAGAACGGTTTACTTCATGAAGACAAGGAACGAGGCCCCAGACAAGCTGAAGTTGTTTGTGAACATGGCGGAAAATCAACTTGGAAGGAAAATGAAATGTCTACGCTTTGACAATGGCAAGGAGATTAGAAACGCAGTCACGAACAAGTTTCTGACCGACTTGGATATTTTTCACACATTTACAAATCCACACACGCCACAACAGAATGAAAAAATAAAACGAGAGATGAGAACCATCATTGAAGCTGCACGCTCATCGTAACAGCAGCCAACTTGAGTATAAGTCTCTGGGCGAAGGTAGTTTCATATGCGGTTTTCACAATTAATCAAACCGGAACAAGTACTTTGAAAGACAAAAGTCCAGCTTAATTATGGTTTGGAATTGAAGATATACGAATGTGAATGTTAAAGTTGATTGGCAAGAAGTTCGAGATAACTCACAGCAAGACTTTCCAGAACCAGTTTACATACCTCGGCATGGAGCTGAAAATCGACTCCAAAGGAATCTTTGTGAGTCAATCGAACAAGCAGATGATTATGAAGCGAAAGGAAATGGAAAAGTACAA